CTTCAGACTAGAAATTAAAATGAATTCAGGAGAACTGATTTTTCAATTACCATCAACAGTAAAAAGAAACATAAGAAATATTGAGAAAATTCGTGTAAGAACAATTATTCTTACTTTTTCGGTCATATTTAACAACATGTACATATATATATATATATGTATACATATATACATATATATATATATATATATATATATATATATATATATATATATATATATATATATATATATATATATATATATATATATATATATATATTATAAATATATTATAAAATATAACCGAAAAAGTAAGATTAATAATTCTAACACGAATTTTCTCAATGTTTCTTACATTTTTCTTCACTGTTGATGGTAACTGAAAAATTAATTCTCCAAAATTCATTTTTATTTCTAGTCTGATGCGACACTTGAGCACGTTTCGTAAAACTTATTATATTTTCAAAGACTTTAGTTTACACACATACAACTATAACTGAACAGAGCTTAAACATCTTCGATTTTTTATACCTGCATTTGGGTGAGGTGATATGTTACAACAGTTTTGGATGAGGTGAAAACAAACTTTCAACACAAGACAGAACACGAAACAATGGGTATAATATTTTGTAAGTTAAAGGGAAGAATGGAAGTAATTGCAGAGGGCCTATTGGCCCATATTTCTTGATGCTTCTATATTGGTGCGGAGTCTTGAAGTGGGTAGAATATAGTTGTGCATTAATTGGCTGTTGATTGCTGGTGTCGACTTCTTAATGTGTAGTGCCTCGCAGATATCTAGCCGCCTGCTATCGCTGTATCTATCAATGATTTCCGTGTTTTTTGTTAAGACTTCTCTGGTGATGGTCTGGTTATGGGAAGAGATTATATGTTCCTCAATGGAGCCCTGTTGCTTATGCATCGTTAATCGCCTGGAAAGAGATGTTGTTGTCTTGCCTATATATTGAATTCTTTGAGGCTTACAGTCCCCAAGTGGGCATTTGAAGGCATAGACGACATTGGTCTCTTTTAAAGCGTTTTGCTTTGTGTATGGAGAGTTTCTCATGAGTAGGTTGGCCGTTTTCTTGGTTTTATAGTAGATCGTCCGACGCCGGGCAGGAACCGAGGATGCAGTGGGCATTTCCCCTCTGGATCGCATTACTGAGGCGCTGAAAGAGAAAACTTGCCGCTCTAGAGTCTCTTGCGGTGTCAATGAGCTTGGAACCAAGTTCCTTAAGAAATCTTCTTGCACTCTCACCCCATGGGCCTAGGGTCTCAGACCCTATTGGAACGAAGTTATACCGATGATCCAATTGCCTGTACTTGACTGACTTTTGTCTTTCTCTGTGTGTCGCCGCGGCTCCTGCTGTGCCGGCAGAGAGGTTGATGTATGTGGTTACCAGGGTGGATACGCAAGTATAGTCCCATGCCAATTGTTTGCTACCCTTTCACAGACGCAGTGTGATTCCGTCTGGTCGGCCGGCAAAGCTAACAGAGTCACGGTTCAGTAGGTTGCGGGGCTCTCTCTCCGCTGGACACTGAGCAGAGATAAGGCTTCTTTTAATGATGTCATTGACTTCGTCGTGTCTAGTGTGCCAACCACCCGATTTTCCACAGTGCAGGCCATGCAATCCATATTCGTCAGCATCTGCCTCACCGCAAATACACCTATGAACAGTGTGGATAGGGGCAGCAAGACGGAGAACGACTGCAATACGGAGCTTCTGCGGATCAAGACGTGTGCCTGTCGCAGACATGGGGACTGCCAAAAGGGTGTTCCCTGAATGGGGAGCCTGCACAGCTGTGAGGCGTGCACGATCACTGGGGGTTGTTGCTGCCTCCAGCACAGCTGTGGCTTCTTTGTCTACAATGGGGCTGTCCCAACTGGATTGTTTCTTGGCTTTCGGCATGGCTGGTCCGAGTGCTGGGTCTGCCATGGCACCCCATTTCGTGTCGCATTCCGTGTAGTGGAGGTCCTGTATCCCCGTTACATCACTCAGGGTGTCAGGTAGAATTTCCTTAACCAGGTCATCTGATGCTGAGGAGGAAGACAGGAAGGGTGGGACAGCAATTTGGGTGGCCGTGCGGACACCCAAGCCACCGAGCATAACAGGAAGAGTGGCTTGTTTCCACTGGCATTCGTTGAGGGGGAGGATAACAACTTTTTCCAGCATGGTCTTCAGTAAGAGGTCATACTCTTCAAGCTTTCGGTTGCCGTAAGATGGGGGCGCACCTCACAAATTAGGTTAGCCTTGGAAGGGATAGGTATTTGTTGAGGAGATAAAAAGCATTGTGGGCATCGATGTCACCTATTCAGTCTTCCATCTTCCTAAGGTTTGCGATTTTCTTGTCAAGGATCTCCACAATGGCGTTAGACCCGAGGGGGGCTGCAAGGAGGGTGCTGTTCTCGGCCCTAATGACATGGGCTCCAGGCAAGGCAGACCTTATTCTAGCTACGATGTCTGGGTTGGAAGAGACTACTTCACATTTGGAAGGTTTGAGGACGAGACCCAGGCTTACTTCTTGCTCCCTTATTTTCCTGATATCTGCCATGAGGTGGTCTACGGTGCCAGCTATAGTGCCATCATCCAAAAACCAGATGTTGAACTCGCTGCACAAGTTTTTGGTGATTTCTTTTAAGACTAAGCAGAAAAGAAGGGAGGCAAGAGGATCACCTTGCAAAACACCTTCACATGATCTGATTTCATGTTCACCAAAGAGCAGTTTTGACTCACCACTGTAGCACGACAGTATGAACGGGTAGAGGAGCTGGAAATGGCGATGTACAGCACAAAGTACTGCATCTCTTCCGACCATGTTGAAGGCATTCTTAAAGTCCAGTTTGAGCAGGGCCTTTTCATCAGAAATGTTGGTGATGTATGCTCGTGCTGCATGGGCAGCCGCTTCACAGCCTTGGGGGATTCTAAATCCTAGCTGGATTGGTTTCAGCAATTCAGCCGCTTGCTGGCTGACAACCCTCATAGCAGCCTTGGCAATCTGGCGTCGGAGAGCGTTGCCAACAGTGATTGGCCTGATTCCTTCGTCCTTCTTTTTGAGAGCACAGAGGGAGGCACCAAAAAGAGGGGGGCCTGATGACCTCAGGTATAACACCAGCCAGGCACATGTTGACGAACCTTGTGAGTTATATAAGAAGTTCTTGTGCAGCATCACCAACCGCAGGATTTAGCATTTGCTTCATGTGTAAAGGTTTTAACCCTGTAAAGCCGCCTGCTGACCCAGGTGGAAAAGAAAGGGCTGCTTTGTAGACCTCAGATTCACCAACGGTTAATGGGTCTGAAATGGTGTCGGCTGATGGCGGAACGATGTTGTCGCCTTGAGGGGCTCTGGGTGGGTGCTTGCTTTGCAGGGCCCGTGCTGTGGCTGAGTTTCGAGGAGCAATTTTCTCGTTACTGGTGAGGACTCTAATAGCACTTGCGGTATTTCCCTCTTCAATTTTCTTGGTGATTTGTGCTCTAATTTTGTACGTTTGCGGTATGTTGTTGTTACCATTTCTGCGGTGGGTGTGTTTTGCTCGGAGCGGCAGGCGAACTAGGTTGTCCCCCCTTGGGTATTCATTTATCGCCCTCAGGACCGAGGAAGCAAGTGATTTGTCCCTCCTTGGAGGGACGGTGAGGCATACATTGCCAAACAGAAGGACATTATGCCACGCTTGAATGTTTTCCGGGGCATCATTGACCCTTTTCAGAAGATTACAGAGTTTGGCTGCTGCATTTGGGCGGGCTGCTTTTGGGATGTGTGGTAATGTTCTAGCAGACATCGCTATGATCACTTGGGTGAGGTTTTCAGATGAGATTAGGTTAATGGGAGTCTCTTCCCTAACTGTTAATGGCAGCTGGCCATTGCTTCCCTTTGGAAGCTGGTGGGAACCACTGTTTTTTACCTTTTTTCATTACTGTTATTATTATATTATTAACTACTTACACTGCTTAACTTTACGCTATCTACACATATATTTTCATATTACTCACCTCCACATATGCTAAACATACCTACTGTCACTTACCCCCCCCCATTATCCCCTCTACCCAAGCACCCCACACACGGAGTCACTCCTACACACACAATTCTACCTGAGGACTGGTGCCATGCGGCCGGACGGCAAGCGCCCACCCCCCGGAAACCCTCAGAACCCATGAGGACTAGACACCTGCGCACCACCTGAGCAGGGGGGAAGGGAAGGCCTAATTGGCTAACCTGCTCAGGTGATGCACACAGTTCTAGTTCTCAACTTCTCTACTTCAGTAATTCTGCCTTGCGGGGGACCTCGATAAATGCCAAGCGTTTACACGTATATTATTATCATATAATTAATTATTATTAAATAATAATTATTTTAATTATTTATCATTTATGTCAGTCCCTCACGAACAGACTATCAAATTAGAAGATAGAGACTCCCTGTACCCGAAGAAATAAATTTTGACGCTCTTACCACCTAAATTATGCAAAATTGCTGAACGCATTTTAGCAACAGGCTGGTGAAGAATTTATACTGTAAGTCAACATTTCAAAAACTTTGAATATGTATGGATAAAAATGCAGTAGTATTCAGTAAAAATATAGGATCTTACTCAATGCTACAATGTTTTATAAAAAGTGTACTTACTTCTTGCTTACAAAATTAAAAGCAACTGTATTGTATAAAAATTTGTAATTTAAAAATTATAAACATAATAATAATAATAATTATTATTATTATTATACTGTTAATAATTATATAATAATAATAATAATATAATATAATAATTATAATAATAATTTTAATATAATAATAATAATTATTATTATTATAACAATATATTTACAAAAAAATCCTGATCAGTGTATGAACGGTATGCATAGGTATTTATATATTGTTTTTTAAACCTACTAATTACGAGTAAATGTTAAATATTACTCTACAGTAGAATGAATCCTTTAAACTACTCACCATTTTCCTTTGTTTACTTAAAACTGTAGCAAAAGTGAGGACGTTAATTTACAGACACTTCCTCCTTCAGACGCTGGAATGGTGAAATGGAAGCTGGCGTGGTAGTGGAGGCGGGGCCGGTGACCAGCCAGGACCAGCTGGACCACCTCCTCCATGGCCAGGACCAGCTGGACCACCTCCTCCAGGGGCTGTGGACTGACGCTAGAACCACCTGCCGAGGACTCGTTCTTGATCTCACCTCCAACAACAATACCAACCATATACTTGAGTAATAATTAAGAAAGATGAGTGCATGAAATCGAGTTGCACTCAGGGTTTTGTTACTGCAAATTATTCACCTTATCATTGAATTATATATTCACCTGAACAAATCCACAAGGGCCGTGACGAGGATTCGAACCTGCGTCCAGGGGATGCAGCGTCTGGGATGCTCTTGGATGCAGGTTCAAATCCTCGTCACGGCCCTTGTGGATTTGTTCATTTGAAACATCACGCTATTGTGATTTCTGTGTGTAATATATTCACTTTACATAACAAAGATATATATCAATTCCTGGAAACGATTGCATGGTGACAAATGATAGACATACACAATTAAATTACTCTTGTATAACTGGTCCACTTACCAAGCACTGAGCATAAAGAAATACTCAAGATAACACAATCAATAATTAACACAAAAGATAGCAGTCACAACGACCCTAAATGTGGAAAACTGTAATCCAACATTTACTCCACTAACAAGCTGCTATTACATTACATTGGGCTAACGCCCTGTTAGTTCAAATCGTTACCTTGGCTGAACAATTCTACACTCTTGGCAGGAGCTAATACAGTCCTACAGAGCCAGGCAGTCGATTTGACATATTCATCTTCTAAAGTTTCTCAAATGAGTCCTTGTATGTGAGCCAAACAGCTCATTCCATTTTTGTAGGACGCACGGTGAATAACCACGAAACAAAGGGTGAGATCTTTACTTTGAATCCAGAGATGGTTGATTTGGCCGAATTAAGAAGCGTTTGCATATGACGGACTCATTATACAGAATGAGAGATTACCACACCAAAGTGGGTGAACTGCTCATAAACAGCAGTCCATCCTAGTAGGTCGATCATTGGTTCCAGAACAAATGGGGCATTGGCTGCTAAAATTAACAAATGATAATACAGCTGTCACGACTGTTAGAGAAGAGACAGAAGCTTCTGGAAGTTGTAGAAAGGAGCATACGTGACCTTACACCTAGCGAGTTGACCTGACGTCATGCCCCATGGTTGGTATGACGTCATGGTTGTGAATAGCCAAGGCTATCCCTTGGCTATACACAACCTCACTCGTCCCTAAGCTACCATCAACTATCTCTTATCTGATGGTAGCTACCATCAGCTGCCTCTTATTAAAATATAAGGAATTTTAACATTTCTAGGGGAAATTGACAAGGTAGACAAAGTAACATTGTGCAAATCTAGGAATAACAGAACGAGAGGTCATAGATTGAAACTCATTATACATATAAGTCTCAGAGATGTCAGAAAGAACTTATTCAGTATTAAAACTGTCAATAAGTGGAACAGGTTAGACACAGAAGTCGCTGAAGCTACTTTAATTTTAAGTTTTAAATTTAGGTATGAGAAACGTGTGAGAAATAAGTGATTTCATTAATCTAAGAACGTTTTGTGCAAGCACACCTCGGAGAGTACATACTTTTATGATTGTTGTTCTCGTATATTGTTGTTGGTCCTTCCTTTCGGACTACCAACCCAAAATTCCGTAGAGTGCTTACTTTGTCCAGGAGATCACCCTGGATACTTCTGGCACTTGGAAAGGGGCTCAACGTCACACGTTTAGGGGATGCGGCTCCAACACTAGCCTCGTTGTCATGTGCACACACCCACTCGAGCCGCCGTGACTCCCCACTCTCTCCTTATGTGGTATGATCTCCTCAATCTCCTTTTCTTTGATATTGCTCCGTACTACCCTATCCGCAGCTTTGGTTCTTTCTCTCTCTCTCTCTCTCTTTTTCCTATTTTCTGGGAAGCCTCACTTGGACAAGGGCAAATATCAGCAAATGTGAATACATTTACTGGACAAGGCACATGAACAATACATAAACACGTATAATAATATATCTCCAACACTCTATACTATTGTACTCAGGTTGCACTCCAATATCATCAGGACTCTATCATCTGCTTATCAAGTGGTATCCTAACTCCTGACTCACCACCTAATACAACCAACCTCATCAAGTAGGCCAAGTCTTATAAAACAATGTTGCACTATCAGCCTCACCAAGTGGGTAAATCATGCAGTACAATATGATATGGCACTACCAACCCTAGAACATATAAATATATGCAGGCAATTCAGCCTATGGCTATAATTCTATAAACATCAACATAAATATTCCTTGATAAACAACAATCATCAATCAATCACCCTATCAGTCCTAGAACACATACGTATGTCTCTGCAGGTAATCCAGCCTACGGTTATAACTCTATACTTCAGTATAAGAACTCCTTGGCACAAAAATTGTAAACAATCACCCACCTTTCACTGCGTCTTGCACGCTAATGATAACCAAACACTTTACCAACTCCCTACAAGTAGTCAACTAGAACTTCCCTTCCACATCTGGGAGTTCACTACCCTGACATCATCAGGTTCTTCCGGGTTTATCTACCAGGATTCGCTGCAGCTCCTCCAGGCTGCTACACTATGAAGTCTTCCTTGAGCAACAATGGTGCTTCACGAATGAATTCACAAAAAGCATGAGAAACTTTATTCAACTGTTCCTCTTCTTACAGCTTGAGGACCTGCTCCTCACTGTAGCTGCTTTCCCACAGAGCTCAGTACCTTCCACAACCTTAGAGTCTCATCAACTACTCCCTCTCTACTGGCTTCTAAGTTCTCAGCAACTCCTTCCCCAGAAAAACCTGCAACCCATTGACACGCCAATAAAAATGTTTCCCTATAAACACATAAACGAAATAAACCACACAATATGTTTACACCCAACATCTCTCTGCTCTCTACATGCTGTGAGTGTGGACTCCCCCGTTTGGGCTGGTCCATTCTCCGCCCGGCCCTTCGGCCCTTGAGGCAGCTGGCCCCTCAGTTGCCCTCCAACGGTCGTTGTGGATGGACGTCACTCCGCCCTCCAGGACGTTCCTCCATATTTACTCTCTTATTTTAGGCCTTCTGCATTAATAAAATATGCCTAATGAATCAATAAACATTCGCTAAGATCGCTGGGTACACGATCAACTATAGGCAATCACTGTAAACTGGTTAAAATTGTGCTTACCACAAAACGGTCTCCTGTAGGGCGCTCTCCTCGATGAGGCAGCGACACTCAGGGCGCCTCAGGCTACCCACAGAACTGCTTTAACTGCCCCCACAACACCTTCTGCAGTTCCTGAATTGAGCTGACACGCTTCCTAACGTATTCCTCAGTCGAGACGTCTGTCCACTTCCTTCCTCTTGAAGGTATATCAAACAGGGGTTCCTCTCTAACAGGGGCTCAAACGGAGCACGCCCTCCCCTCACGATTTCTTCAGCTCAAATGAGCTCAAGCTCCTCTCAAGCGAGTCTCACGCCTCCAGCAAACTCTCTACATCTTATATAAAGTCATTTACTTATTTTCTTATTCACTGCCCATATTCTTAAATTATCTATCAAATCCAACCAATTATTTTACATATGAATCTTCATATCTATATTTCTTTGACCTCCTAGTCAGGTCAGGCCTGATAGAATAATTCTTAAAAGGGAGACTTGTGGGGAATTCTGGCATCAGTATAATACTAATAAAATGTATATTTTATGAATGCAAGATAATGATTAATTCTAAGATAGCAAGAAGGACCCAAATGCGTTATTAAATGAGAAATCAGTGGTTTATTGATCTATGATTATATGAATAAATTCTTTTAAGCAATGACTATAAATTATATAATTCTAGAGCCAGCCTCCCATGATACATTTTGGGGGTGAGGGTCTTCTATAAGATTAGTCTTATAAAGGACTAATCTTCCCTTGGAGGATTATGTGTAACATATGTTATGAAATAATAATAATAAGTATAATATGCACACACATATACAATAAGAAAAATATGTAATGCAAGAAATACTAGTGCAAATCAAAGATTAATAATTCATAAAGATAATATCAGATAAGTATGGACTCTGAATAATTAAATACTATCTACAATGAAAAAACTGATTAAATCTCAGATGTGACAGAGAGACGTAGATGCAGTCCACTGTACGACAGTCTGGAAACAGTTTGAGATAGTGATACTTGGCGCACGTGAGTGTATGGCGGTCACACGCTTCCTCAGGGGTGTTGCACCATGCAACATATAATTATATTTCCATAATTTCCACTCCAAATTAGAATTCACACACATCAAAGTAATATCTAGATATCTGGAGGAGAAAGAGCTGCACTCACATGGGATTATTCTTACGCCCGCAGCGTCACGGCACGGCTACCTATATTAGTTATATTTATGAGCTCTATAAATACTAAAAAAAGGTAAAAATGCCTGCCAAACTGGTGTCTGTGATTCTGGTAAGCTGCGTCCTCAATCTAGCGTCCAGGGATGTAAGGATGCCTTCTTGATTGTAAGATTTGTTGGGACCGCTTCGGAGCACCGTGCTGCTTGTTGATCTAATATGGCAAGAGTCCTCTCTCTCCTTCCTGAAAGTCGCGCATGCGCATTAGCTCCCAGTAGGTGCTTGAGCATAAATTATATTTATTTATTTAAGCTAAATAGGGAAGGAGGTGTTTATAAATATTGTTGATGTTTTGATTAAATACTTTATGTGGTGATGTTTAATTCTCACAGTGCAAGTCAGTTAATATAGACTGCACAAATAAAACTATACTCGCTTTGTGGTGGAAATAATTTTAGATTATGTTATTTACTGGAACAGCGATCAAGCTGGGTAAAGGAATTCCAGTAAACTGTTGTATACTAAAAGTAAACCTGTTACTAAATAATTATTCCTAATAAAGGAAAGTAAATGGTTGCACTTGTGTTAGATCTACAGGTATGTGGAAAATTTATTCTCCGTGAGTGGCTGACGCAACACTTCACAATTCTAGGAGAAATTACATGATGTTCCACAACCTAATACAATAAATTCTATGATACTAAACTACGTATTAGAAGTGTTAGTTAATTATTACGCTTAGTACAGGAAGTACATCCCATTGTACTAAGGATTAGTAAATGAATATTAAATGTGTATGAAGCCTAATACAGGAAATACATCCTGTTTTATTAGGGATGAGAATAACGGTTGGCAATTTCCAACAAGACTCGTTTTTCAGCTACCTGGGATCATAACAATACACACACACACATTAAATAATTGTATTTTATTTAAATACATACCTCAAACTATATCAAAATGTCATTTGTATGTTTGCTATAAGGTCTAAAATTTTAACTTTATTTAACTTTTTTATACTTAATAAAACACTTTATAAATATTTACAGTGTGATCTTTCTACATTTAATTAAAAACGTTACAGAAATGCTGTGTGTTATTGGGTTTGTGAGTACATCTACTCGAGTACATATATGAATATATCTTGTTCTAATTATGATTTTGAAACTGTTCAAAAAAGATCTTTTAGAAATTATCAATACTATATTAATAATAAACCTGACTCTTCAGAGCATAAATGTATGTACTATTTCTTCTCTTCAGGTTTCTAGAAATGTCAGGTCTCTGGAAGCTGCCGGAGACGGTGGTAATAGCCATAGGTGAGAGGGCGGGGGTGAGGGCCGTGCTCCTCCACCACAGTCTCCGCAACACTGTCCACGCCCTCTACCTCGCCCTCCACCACGCCTCCCTCTACGCCATTCAACTGGCTCTCCATGATGCTTCTCTTCATATCTCTTCTCACTTTGGTACCTCAGTTGCCCAGAGACCTAAGAAGGAAGCAGGTTTGGACATTCAAATTTGTATATTTTTTTATATACCTATCATAGTAAAACAAATTTATTGAAATTGCATAAACCATTGCTACGTAGACCAACATTTCATTGTATATAATTGCTAAGCAACATATGAAGCAATAATAACAATTTTGCAACTTTCAAATGGTATGAATCAGAAACAAGAAATGCTTATCAAATTTTTTTTATTGTTTAATTGCAGAATAAAGAATGTACTTTTCATATTTTCATAGTTCAATTAAGAAAAGACAGACATTCTTAAAGAGAAAAGGATGTCTGCATATATCTTCGATTCCACTCAGAGGACACGAGTCTCTTAAACATAAATATATCATGATCATTTTAATATATGCGTTATGCAGAATGATACTAAAGGGAGGAAATTTTTTTTAAATAGGAGACATTCATTCACTGTAATCCAACTGCTCACTGTTGCCATTTCTTTGTTCATTCTCCTGTGTTTTATCATATGCAGGTTAAATTTGCCGATAAATATATGCTTAAAGTATAGTGTATGTTGGGTTGGTACGGATAAAAGGAGGGCATACAAAAATTTGAGCTTGTCCTGTGTAAGCTTGAGGGAGGTGTTGTGCAACTTCAGCTGTGAAAACATGGTTGGACAACATGAGACTCGTCCCAAAGACTATTAAAATTCTTGGTCAAGTATTATATTTTGACCAAGTAGAAGGTTAGAAGAACCCACTGATACACGTTACTTGCTTTTGACCCTGTACCTTAGTAAACCTCTCAACAAATATATCTAAGATTAAGGAGATTATTTACAGAAGCTCTGAATATATCCTTTCTTAAAGAACGTGAATATTTTCTTGATCTTTTACATAAGTCTCATTTAAAAATAGCATGTAACCACATTCTTTAATTTAAAACGTTTTTACAATAAAGTTTCGAATCTTTTGATAGTATGAACCAATTATAAAATAGCTTTTGGGTAAACCCGATATTCCTTTAGAATATATCATGTCTAAAACTGACTTTTAAAATGTGCCATATATAACAATATATATAATAGAGCATCAGAAATAACGACAAAAGTGTATGATTAGAAAAGTGTCCTCTCCTTGTTCCAAATATGTATAAAATGTAATCAATCCCTAGGCCTTGTAGACATCACAAGCTTGTATACAATACCTCGCAGACTCCCAGACAAACGGACTCGTAGTTACACACACATAGATAGACTCACAGTCTAACAGACTCAAACTAGGGAGTATGCAGCTCCTGCGTGGAGTTTATATCTAGTCAAACACAAGACTAAATTGGAGAAGATTCAAAGGTATGCCATCAGACTGGTACCCGAGCAGAAAAGTATGAGATGAAATCTACGGGAACTAAAACTCACGTCGCTGGAAGGAAGAGTTGGAGAAGACATGATCACCACATACTAGGTTCTCAGAGGAATTGATAGGGTAGATTAAGACAGTTTATTCAACACAGACGGTACATACAAAAGGGAACAGGTGGAAACTGAGTACTTAAATGATCCATAAAGACATTAGAAGGAACGTTTTCAAATGTAGATATGATAGTGTAGATATTTTCACTAAACTTTTTTCAAATGTAGATATGATAGAGCTCAATTGGCTCGGGAATCTGTACACCAGTTGATTGTCGGTTGAAAGGGTTGGACCAAAGACCCGAAGCTGAATCCACGAAAGCACAACAAAGTGAGTACTGACTCACATATATGGACTCGAAGGCTCACTCAGATATGCATACTAACTGGCAGATTCTCAGAGAAACAAAGAGAGACAAACTAGAGAACAGACTGTTCATATAGACAGAAAACAGACATATTCGCTGAGATACAGCAAAACAGACACATTTTCGAAGACTAGTTAAAGTGCTGACAGACATATATAGTAAAAATGAAATTATTCCAGTTATATATAGTTTGATTCATAAGTTTCCAATAAAGCTTAAAAATAAGCTTATTTTATTCTATCTTTATTTCACTGTATTAAAAATAATTAGAAATTACTTTTATACTTAGTCTGACAAGGTTTAAATACTATAGCAAAATCGAACACAACAGCTATCAAAGTCAAATTAAATAGGTTTCTTATGTCAGTATCAATACATAGAATTACATTAACAAAGTGACCAATGATCTGAGTTCACTAAAGTTTACCAACAGCCACTGAGAATATAGACTCCATGAGATGGTATTCCCAAACATAATATGTCTAAATATCTCTAATTTGGAAAGAATTACAGTAAAACAAGTACAATCGAAAATTTGGGAATAAGAAAACAAAAAAATCAGTAATGCTTATATACCGAAAATAGTGGTAAAATTTAAAATAACTATTTACATGTGAACCTTTACCTTCAGAATCCTCAAGCTGTGTACTAGTGTACCGGCGATGTCTGTACTGCAACACCGGGGAGCCGGACGTCCAGCTGGTCCACCGGTGCTTCCCCACCTCTCCCACTCTCCCCATGGACCACCTCTTTCATGGTAATACCAGATTTTATTGCAATTTAATATAGGAATGATTAAGCAACGTTTATACTACGTTAGTTTTCTCTTATATTTGAATTCATATTAGTATGTATTACCCTTACCCAGACGGTCATTATTTTTATCATTTATCACTGTGTTATAAGATTGGGAAGGATTAGACACATTTAAAATTTCTAAATTTTAAACAAAATACTTTCACGAGTATTTTAAAATCAAGTTCTTTTTAAAAGACGCTCAGTGAATTTGATTTGATTATGGGCTTAAGGCCTATCATGCCTCGAAGGGTTATTATGACAAAAATACTTTAGACCTGAACATAAACCATAACTAAAGTAAGCTCTAGATGTATATTATTCGAGAAGAGACTGCACGTCTTGGTGTACATATAATTTATATAGGTTTGACAATATATTATACAATACTTTTGACAAGTTTATTTATTTATTTTATTTTATTTATTTATATATATACAAGAAGGTACATTGGGTTTGTGAGAATACATTGGATAGTACAGTATTTACATTCTTGTAAAGCCACTAGTACGCGCAGCGTTTCGGGCAGGTCCTTAATCTAGCAGATAATTTTAAGTAGGTAATTTCAATCAGAATTGATAAATGATAAAGATACATTACAAGAGAAAAATGAGATGAGAGAGATAAGTAAGCATATTAAAGCACATTGTTATATTAAAGCTCTGATTGATTACATTAACAGCTTGATTAGTAATTTAAACAAGGTTAATAGACACCATACAGCAGATTGACAGCACATATAAGACAGCAATGATCACAATGGTAAAGATGTTCAGATTGGGTACATAAAGATTGGGAGACTGGGTAGCAAAAGATACAGATAAACAAGATTTATAAACACCATACCACAGATTGGCAGCACATATAAGAAAACAGCAATGATCACAATGGTAAAGATGTTCAAATTGGGAACATAAAGGTTGGGAGATTGGGTAGCAATTGATACAGTGCAATTTTAAAGCAAAAAGTGAAAAACTATGAAGATGAAATTAGGTACTTTTTAGTATTGATTTTGAATGATGTAAAAGTTGGACAGCTTTTCAATTCAGTAGGGAGTGAGTTCCATAAACTGGGTCCCTTTATTTGCATAGAGTGTTTACACAGATTAAGTTTAACTCTGGGGATATCAAAGAGATATCTATTTCTGGTGTGGTGATAATGGGTCCTATTACATCTGTCCAGGAAGAGTTTCAGACAAGGATTTGCATTTAAGAACAGGGTTTTGTAAATGTAGTTGACACAAGAGAATTTGTGGAGTGAGATTATGTTTAGGGAGTTAAACAAGTGGGCTGTGTGTTGTCTGAAAGCAGAATTTGATATTATTCTGATAGCAGATTTTTGCTGGGTGATGATGGGCTTGAGGTGGTTTGCAGTGGTTGAACCCCATGCACAGATACCATAGTTGAGATAGGAATAGATTAGTGCATAATATAGAGAGATGAGAGCAGAGTTAGAAACATAATATCTGATTTTGGAGAGTATACCAAGTCTTTCCATATTTTATATAGGCTCATGTCACAGAGAAATTTGTTATGTGATTTTCCTTTATTCTATAAATAATACGTTCATTACTCTATCCGTTCTAATCTCTTCTATCGATTCCATTACATACACCATCCATGAAGCTTGTCATCTCTATGGCTGTGGACAGCTTACGGGTTTTACTGCAGTGTAAAGAATTAGTTGAACTATTAAAATTATTGCCTTTCAAATTAACGGTACCGAACTTGAAAATCTACCTTTATTTTTCTCTCCAGCAGAGCAGTTTCACAACTTAATGGGCCACAAGATAAAATTTTCCTCCATGATATTTTTCCCATATATGGACTATAAAAGCAACGATAATGAACATGGCAGGTCAGTGACTCTCGAAGACTCTCTCAACACCCGATTATTCATCGACTTTGCCAGAAGACTCAATGTCAGGTTAGAAACTACACTTTTATATTAAAAGGCATTTGTTGCCGTAGATAAAACCATTTATTAAATTCTTGACTTATATTGCTTAGTTTATTTTCTATATAAAAAATAATTTTCTATAAAACAAAATATTGCAATTTCCCCATGAATCACCCAGCAACCTTTGAATTCCCTCTCTATTAATCCTAGAGTCCCTCAATCACTACATTAATCCCCCAACCCTACATGAATTCCTTAAGGGGTCCATAACTTTCAAATATTAAATAAATGAAAATTTGTCAATTTCAATCATATTCTTTTGACTAGTTGTATATAAAAAGGGCTTCAACTGGTCCAAGTCTCAGCATCGTTGCATAAATAGAAAGGGAGATTAACAGAACTGAAGGGAAAACAACTTAAAATGTCAACTGAAATCATGTCTATGACTCTCACCTATCGTAATAGCATATAATAAAATATTTTAATAATTAGTTTTATCCAACAAATATTTAGTTTTAAAAAAATTAATATATTTCTTATTTTTTTTATCGGGTGATTTGCATGAAACTTATACACCTCACTGAACCTAATCCTATCTGTAAGCATGGCAATTTGGGAGGAAATTGGTTGATGTCAACTTCTGCCACAGGTCGACTTCATTTTTTACTTAATTTTTTCAAGTAGCATTAAAGTGTCTCTACTCTTTCATTTGTTATTCAATTTCCATTAAACTTACACATTATATATAGAATTTATGTATCTACAATCGCTTTAAAAAAAATTATTCCTAAGTTCATTTATTGATTTTAGAAATATATTTAAACATATAATATTTTTGCCTAAATGTTTTGGGGAATGTTGACAACATTTTTTAGTAAACTAAACATATTTTTGATAATCCCTTTGATAAAATCCTTTATTATATGCTAATGTAATAGACGAAGGTCATAAAAATTATTTCATTTGAAACTTGTGGTTGTAGATTTTTTGTTTAAATGTTGAAAATTCGTTGAAAAATAATTAGTTTTTTCTGTCGTTCTCTTCAGGATGCGATACTGAAAATTGGATCAGTAGCAGAACTTTTTATATACAACTATTCAAAAAAGTTTGATTTAAATTGAACAACTTTTAATATCCTAAATTAAGACCCCCTTAACACCAAATAAGTCTTTTATCGTCAAATGAATCCCAAAACACCCCATAAATCATCAATCACCACATAAATTTGAATTAAACTCGTGAATCCAAGATGTCCTTATGCTGTAAGTGCCCCATAACCACATCAAGTCAAAGCCACTACATAAAAACTTAACAACATCATTACCCCTTTTCATCAAATAAAGCCAACACCATTATAAAAATCAACTTATCCTAAGGCTTTGCTCGCCCAAGCCGTGGCTGACCACAAAGATGCGTTCATCAATTTTGTGTTCATCCCATATTCATAAACATAGGTAAAGTGCTCATAAATTTCTAAAAGAATCTAAACATCTAACCAAACCTAATCTGGGCCTAACTCTACACCAAACCACAACCTATTAAACCGGGTAATATTTATATTTTGGAAATACCACTTCTGAATTCACAGTATGTTAAAATTGCAACCCATCCTTACGGAGGGTAATTACGGAGGCCAAGGTAATTCCAGTTCGAAAATCGAACTCATAAATTTGAATGAGATTAAATATTTAGTGAATTAAAGATCAGTATTCTTTAAATCTAATTTTTATATAATTATATGCAGAATATTAGTTTTAGTTTATAATTAGACTTTGCCTATGTTAAGGTAGACTAGGTTAGGTCTTTTGGCTATGTTGACAGTTATTTGTTGATGATTGTTTTAGGAGCCACAACAGCGGTGGTGCCATTGGTTCCTGTTTACCCTCCGTTCCCTTGGAGGGTAAAACACAAAACCTTGAAGGCAAATTAACATCGGTTGTCAGTGGAAACAAACTGGCCATGCAAAGGATGAACACTCTGGAAGGCAAATCTTTGGGATCCCCCCCCCCTAGATTTCCGAAACTCGTACCCCTAATGGGAAAGAAAGCAAAAATGTCTTCAAGTGACCTGTAGGTGAGTAAGAGCCAGTTTTCCGCCACGTCCAAAGAGAACACCACGAGATATCCAAGACTCGCCAACCAATTTCCAAAGGGAATACCAGGAGCCAACAAAGACCCTCTTTTCGCGGCATCTCGCGGCTGTCAGCACTAAACACAGTCTCTCCGCCCAAAAAAACAGCCAACAAACTTAAAAAACTAGCAACATATCTGTGATCCCAGACAACTAGTGCACCAGGAATCGTAATATTCCCAGCCGTTAAACAGGAATAATTGTCAGCAATATCGCAACCCATTGGGTAAGACTGTGTCACATGTTCTGGCTGTCCCCGGCAAAACAGGTGTCTTAACGTCCCATCGTCGTCCAGGTTGAATCAGGAGTCGTAACAATATTTGTATTTACAGTACGTAGATAAAACATATAGAGAGATACAACTTGAACAAAAGGCGTGAGAATAGCAATGTTCTGGAAGTGATCGAAGGTCATCGTTCAATCAGTGCTTCACTGATGGCCAGTGTTCGAATCTTAACTGTGCAAATTCTTCACCCATGTATTACAAACACAAGTATTTGCAACCATAACTTACACATGTAATTTAATCTACGTCTAAATATGTGTATAATGTTAATACAAAATATTATTCATCTATGTTAGAGAAAATTATTATTTTTGAATGAACAGCATGTTAAAATTTATGAATGCTGCTTTGGGGACGGACGCTGGATGGAATGAACGTAACATAAGGATAGGATGTGTGAAAGTATTTTGTTAATTAACAGAGAGGAAGTTTGGTGACTAAATTAACAAGCATTTGACCTTTATTTACAGCCTATCCTTAACATTTGCTAGTCCAAAAGCAGTCAGTCGATTTCATAGAGACTTTCAATAATTTAAACACACTAACGAATTAAAAATAAATATTTTTCACATACAAACTAACATTATTATAAATAAGATTCTGGTGTTTTGCTATGCCTAAATTAGGTTAGGTCAGGTGTAATTATTTGTTGTAGTACACGAATGAAGCATTTAAAAAA